TAGGCCAGTTTCTGTAACACTGACTCAGTTTTAGCCTTTTTAATGATTTTTTTTTTAATCAACTGGCTGTGGCAGTCATCTTGAATTGGGTTGGCTTGGAAATGTAAAGAGTTGTAGATGAACATCCAATCATTACTTTATGAGAGTTTCATTAAAATCAATATTGTGGTTCATGAGATATTTTTCTAACAGACAAGTTAAACAGTTCCAGGTGATCAGAAAGCCCTCGGAGTATGTGGTGGGAGTGACTCTCGGCTACTAACACACCAAAGTTAAGCTCAACATCTGTATAATTAAAGTTATGGAAATAATTGTTTAAGATTGCTTAGCTGTGGTAGCCATTTTGAATGGGGCTGCCTCAATAGCTGATATTTATACAATGTTACTTTTTTAAGGTTTATTTAAATGCATCAACTCGTTCATGAGATATTTTGCTAGCACAGCAGGTAAACTAACAAACAGGCAAAAACATTATCGCCTTTTAAGTTGGGCAACAACAAAGACACGTAGAAGGCGAAGATTTAATAAATTATTTTATTTTGATGATTAGTTTTCTGAGATTCATTTAATGCACACACAAAAAAAATACTTACAGTATTTCATGAAGAGGAAAAAAAACATATGTAAGTTGCTTCGGAGTATAAGTTGTTTATTATGCGTCACCTCTGATCCCCTGGAAACGTGGGCCGGTGTTGTGCCAAAAATCGATTGGCGGCCGGACGACTCGTTGTAGTTGTTCAAAATTTAACAAGATTAACACTTAAAAACAATTATTTGTTTGCTCGACATTATAGCAAAGGTGTCTCAGTTTAACTTTTTCCTTAATAAATGCACTTTAATGGTCAATGTTTAGCTGGGGGCTGTGGTAGCGGTACAAGAACAACATATACTCCTACTGGTAGATGTCAAAAGCCTAAAAGGCTCTCTAGCACCTCTAGCGGCTGCAAATGGTAATGCTCACTCTCGTTCATGTGAGTATGAATGAACATTTAAAGCGTCAGTCAAAAATTGCGTTATGAATATGGAAAAAAAAGTGTATAAGTTGCAGGACTGGCAAATCTATGCAAAAAAAAACTATGACTTATACGCTGAAAAATACAGTACATGACTAGTATAAAAATGCATAAATGCAAATTATAACTTCAGACTTTGGTAGTTTTTTTAATGATCTCTGTTTCAAACATCACGATTAAGCCCCGCCTGGTTCGGACATACAGCTGTGTATATAACCTGCAGTGTACACATAATGTGGCATCAGTTGTAAAATGATTGTTCCAACACCGGTACACAAGGATAAAGATTTGTTGTACATCGGCTGAATTATGCAAGCAGTTCCACATTTCTGACTGGACGTCTGCCAAGCAGGTAGAAGGCGTGGGTGTAGGTGGATCAGCCGGTGCACGAGGCTCTGGCTGGCCTCTGCAATAAAACTAAACATGTCTGGCTGGCGAGGCTGCGAAGCTGATCGTTACTGCAAAGCTGGAGCGGCTGCTATCCGTGGATGCCGCTGTATGGTGGAAAGAGGATTTTATCCAAATTCAGCTGAAGCACAGTGTTTATATTGCTCGGCATACCTCATTAATGTGTTGGAATTACACATGGAGCTACTGGAAAAAGGCAGGGAGATTTAGGAGGAAACATCTAATGTAAAGATAATAACAATAACAAAAATAAATTCCATAATAATCTGTAAGCATATAGATCAGAAACATGTTTTTTTCTAACTTTGTTCAGAATTGACGGCTTTGCCAAGGGTCTAATTATCACAGATGGGTGTTAAAAAGGGAAGCAGTAAATGTACCATTGTTGTAGAATGTCTTTGCATCCATGAATATACCACAAAAAAAATTGTGTCTTGAAGGTTTTGACGAAGATTAAATAGAAACGAATTGTAAAAATGTCTCAAGTAAGCTGGGACTCTCCCTGAAGTTCAGTTATCCTGCAGAGACTCGTAGAACTGCTGCTCCTCCATATTGAGAGGAGCCAGTGGAGGTGGTTCAGGGCATCTGGTAAGGATGGCCCCAGGATGCTCCCTAGGGAGGTTTTCAGGGCATTTCTAACCCAGGGGAGACCCTGAGGAAGACAAAGGACATGTTGGACAGACGTGTCCTGTCTGTGGGCTGGAATGAGCTCACCTTCGAGTCCTCCCAGAAGAGCTGGAAGACGTGGCTGTGAAAAGAGATGTCTGGAACAGGCTGCTCAAGCTGCTGCCCCTCAACCTAACTCTGGTACAAGTGACAGATAATGGATGGATGGGGAAAAAGTTTAGTTCAGTTGGACCCAATGTGTGCATTTTATTTTGGTGAGCTCTTCATCAGTTCGGTCAAGAATGAAACTTGCTTTGCAATGTTTTGTCACGGCCTGTTTATCTCCTCTGACCATAAATTTAATTTTGTTTAGTTAAATACTCTCCAGGTTATATATACAGGTCCTTCTCAAAAAATTAGCATATTGTGATAAAGGTCATTATTTTCCATAATGTAATGATAAAAATGAAACTTTCATATATTTCAAATTCATTGCACACCAACTGAAATATTTCAGGTCTTTAATTGTTTTAATACTGATGATTATGGCATACAGCTCATGAAAACCTAAAATGACTGTCCCAAAAAATTAGCATATTATGAAAAGGTTCTCTAAACAAGCTATTAACCTAACCATCTGAATCAACGACGTAACTCTAAACACCTGCAAAAGATTCCTGAGGCTTTTAAAAACTCCCAGCCTTGTTCATTACTCAAAACCGCAATCATGGGTAAGACTGCCGACCTGACTGCTGTCCAGAAGGCCATCATTGACACCCTCAAGCAAAAGGGTAAGACACAGAAAGAAATTGCTGAAGGAATAGGCTGTTCCCAGAGTGCTGTATCAAGACACCTCAGTGGGAAGTCTGTGGGAAGGGAAAAGTGTGGCAGAAAACGCTGCACAACGAGAAGAGGTGACCGGACCCTGAGGAGGATTGTGGAGAAGGGCCGATTCCAGACCTTGGGGGACCTGCGGAAGCAGTGGACTGAGTCTGGAGTAGAAACATCCAGAGCCACCATGCACAGGCGTGTGCAGGAAATGGGCTAGAGGTGCCACATTCCCCAGGTCAAGCCACTCTTGAACAAGAGACTGCGTCAGAAGCATCTCGCCTGGGACTGCTGCTGAGTGGTCCAAAGTTCTGTTCTCTGATTACAGTAAATTTTGCATTTCCTTTGGAAATCAAGGTCCCAGAGTCTGGAGGAAGAGAGGAGACACAGAATTCACATTGCTTGAGGTCCAGTGTCAAGTTTCCACAGTCACTGGGGTGTCATGTCATCTGTTGGTGTTGGTCCACTGTGTTTTATCAATGGCAGGGTCAATGCAGCTAGCTATCAGGAGATTTTGGAGCACTTCATGCTTCCATCTGCTGAAAAGCTTTATGGAGATGAAGATTTCATTTTTCAGCACGACCTGGCACCTTCTCACAGTGCCAAAACCACTGGTAAATGGTTTACTGACCATGGTATTACTGTGCTCAATTGGCCTGCCAACTCTCCTGACCTGAACCCCATAGAGAACCTGTGGGATATTGTGAAGAGAAAGTTGAGAGACGCAAGACCCAACACTCTGGATGAGCTTAAGGCCGCTATCCAAGCATCCTGGGCCTCCATAACACCTCAGCAGTGCCACAGGCTGATTGCCTCCATGCCACGCCGCATTGAAGCAGTCATTCATGCAAAAGGATTCCCGACCAAGTATTGAGTGCATAACTGAACATGATTATTTGAAGGTTGGTGTTTTTTGTATTAAAAACACTTGTCTTTCATTGGTGGGATGAAGTATGCTAATTTTTTGGGACAGGCATTTTGGGTTTTCATGAGCTGTATGCCATAATCATCAGTATTAAAACAATTAAAGACCTGAAATATTTCAGTTTGTGTGCAATGAATCTGAAATATATGAAAATTTCATTTTTATCATTACATTATGGAAAATAATGACCTTTATCACAATATGCTAATTTTTTGAGAAGGACCTGTAGAACAGGGTCTCGCATATCTCCAAACCCTGTGTGTTATTTTCACCACTTTTTATTGTCTGCCCAAACAGGTCTCACTTGTAAATGAGTTTTCGAGGCTCAGTGTGACTTGTATGTTTAAATAAAGGTTGAATGAATGAATACAGTGATGAGGGTGTTGCTCCAGTCTGTCATGGTGAAAAAGTGGTCAAGCCAAGAGACAAAACTCCACTACATCTAGTAGTCCAATGTGTGTTAAAATAAGTGCAGTCAATGTGTTATATTAACAGGTACCAACCAGGCAGTATCCAACAAACACCAGTGAACAAAGTGACACATGCACCTAGTTTGGGCCTTTCCATCCACTGAACGCACCTCCGCATGCTCCCAACTGCCTCAGCCTTAAAAAGCAAAGTCCTGCTCTGAGGCTTCAAAAGGGTTTTGATGAAAACCCTCTGAATTAAAGCTCTAGATGCACATGCTGTAGCTGTACATGGCAAACTGCCATCCATTATGGTGTTAAACAGTCTTGGTGGTGTCTTTTAACCAGCTCCATATCCTGTAAGTGAGGCTGCCATTGCCATGGAAAAACCGGGCTGGGATAATTAAAACGCAGGTGAAAAATCTTTGAAATGGGGTAAAAATCTGCTTTCATACAGTCACAGAAGCAAACAGATTACACAGTTTTTTTTTTTTATCATGGGAATGAAGCGGCAGCAGCTGTTTAATTCCACCCATACCTGAGAATATCATATTACTGGGTTCCTGATCTGCTTTGTGAGTGAAATCACAGTTTTTCACCCCAGCTTGTGGCACCTACTACTTGAACAGGAGTGGATCAGGTTAAAACCCAATTACCCTCTTCACAGCTGGAGCCGGATCCTCTGCCACCCGCACAACATTTGAGCTGTAAAGAATCTGTGTGTGCTCAACCTCTGGCCCACACACACACGCCACTGTGCCTAATGCCTTAAATACAACAAAGCTCATGTAATTTCCTCTTCTCATGTTCCAGCTCTGTATCCGGCTGCATATAGGATGAAGCGTGGAGCGTATTCACTCATCAACCCCACATTCCAGCGCTCGGAGGAGGATGCCGGTTTGCTTTTTGAGGTCAGTTCAGATCTTTATAAAGTTTTGTATCTGCTGCTTGTTTGGAAAGAAATGAGCTTGTGGAGAAAAAGCATCAGCCTCTTCCAGATCACACGTCTGTGAGCCCGGTGGACTGAGCTCTCCTGCTATTAATTGGTAAAAAATGTGCTTATTCAAAAGCTCCATGACGTTGATGAAAGATTTGTTGATTGTATCTTCAGCTCATTTCACATATTGGTAATAATACGAATCAATCTAAACTGTATTTAAGTTGGTTGGAAGTGATTCCCCAGTCCTTTTACTCTTTCAGATTCTGCTGGCTGGAATGCAGATCCGAGGCGAGGACCACACCCTGCTCATCCCAGACGAGGAGCTGGCGTCTTTAAGGAGCGTTAAAACACTGGAAGTCATCTGTGAGGACGTTCTGCCCAAGAAACTCTCTGATATCCGCCGTCTGACGGCTGACCTCGCCCAGCGGCGGCGACCTCTCAGCTGGCAGGACTTCGAGAGAACCGTGCTGACTCTGGTTTACACCTCGCAGACCCTGGCCCAGATCACCGACCAGAACCAGAGGGAGCTCTGGACCGACTCTTTGGTGCAGCTGTTTCGAGCTGTTCAAAAAGACCTCAACCCCTCCTTAGAAACAGTTTAATAAACTGACACTTGTGATTTTTATTAGTTTTATACTATAAACTAACTTCAGCTTGTGTAAGAAAGTCATGTATAATTAGAGAAATTGAATTTCCTGCGAATATGCAGTGTGAATGCTTATTGCTGAAAAACTTGCTGAAAAACAGCTGAAATTAGCTAAAAAAAAACATGCTGAATTTTAGCTGAAAAGGAAGAAAAAGACTAAGTTAGCAGAAGAAATCAGACGGAACACAAATTTGTTGAACTAGGTTTAAATAAGTAAAAATAAGCACAGACATTAGGAAATTAGCTTAAAAAAAGGGCTGAAATTAGCAAAAAATTGCTGAAAAGGCAGAAAGAATTTTAAACTATCAGAAGGAAGTGGAAAGAATTGAAATGAGCTAAAAAAAAAAGGCATTAGCTGAAAAAGCTAAAAAAAAATAAAACAGCTAAATAGTAGCTGAAATAACTGAAATTAATAGAAAAGCTGAAAGAAGCCCAACAAGCTGAAATTCATAGAAATAAGTTATAATTAGGCTGTAAGTAGGAGAAATTATCACAAAAAACTTGAATTCATATGAAAACGGCTGAAATTGGCTAAAAATGCTAAGAATATAGCTGAAAATTTAGAAGAAGCTTAAAATAGCATAAAATGGCAGAAAGAACACATGTTTGCCCAAATGGGCTGAAGGAAGCAGAAATGAGCACAAAAAAGTGGAAATTATCTGAAAAAAGTTTGTAAACTCAATCCAGGTAGATAAAAATAAAAAAAGTTTATATTGTGTCATCTGGACGATTTAAACTTTTTATAATATTAACTGGAAAAAGCTTAAATTAGCAAGAAAATGCTGAAAAAGTAGAAAAAAGCTAGAATTAGCCTACAAGAAGGAAATGGAGAGAGCACTTTTTTTTCTGAATTAGGCTGAAAAAAGTTTAAATGAGTGCAAAAAAATGTGGACTTAACTGAAAAGGTTAAAATTAGCATGAAAACAGCTAAATGGTAGCTGGAATAGCAGAAAAATCTGAAACTTGCATAAATGAATTGAAAGGAGCATACCAAGCTGAAACTAGCAGACAGAAGTTAAAAGAAGCACGAAAATGTTGTAGTTAGCAGAAAGATCCTGACAGAAGCACAAAACAGCTGAAATTAGCTGAAAAAAGTTTAACTTTGCAGAAGGAAGCTGAAGCAGAACAAAATGTGGGGGAAAAAAAGCAGTAAAAGGTTGTGAACAGATCTAAAGATTTGAAGGCTGTAAAATGAGCTCAATTCATTTTCTATGAGGAAAAAAGTGGCAGAAAAGGTTAAATATTTCAAAAAGAGCTAAAGTGGCACCACTACCAAAAACCATAGCAGGATTGTTCTGAATGAGCTGAACGTTTTTGTTGAAATGGCACAAAAAATGTGGAACGAGAACGATGCTGAAAAACGTACAGAAGAAAAATGGATCTCAATAGTGTGAATGCTTTATAAACAGTCACACAATAAAACCAGAAAGGGACAAGTTTATAGAAAATGTGAAATTTTCAGCGCATGAATGCAGCTATTTGTTGATGTGTGGTCATGGCCAGCTTGAAAAACTTTCAAATGTGTTGGTGTCTGTCAGCAAAACATCTTATGAACCTCTAATACTAAACACACATCCACAATCATTTGCTTTATGTGTTTTTTTCATGCCATACAATATCCAAGTGGTTTACTAATGTTTTCTACAAGTGGACGTTCTGATTTCCCGCATGGCTCTGAATCAGTCTGCCAAGTGAAAATCTGGATTTGGTCGGTTTAATTCGCCTCAAAGTAAACATCAGGCGTTCTCACATGGTAAAACCTGCTTTAGAGATGATTTTGTGTAATATGCGAGTTTGAAAAAGTAGCATCTCCTCAACACATGCCGTGGAGTAATGGAGCATATTTCAAACTAAAAATCTGTCATGGTTTTTGCTCCAACATCTTCTGCTATGCAGTGTGAAGCTTTATCCTAAGACTTGTGCAATCGAGTACATGAGACTTTTATTTTCCTTTTCATTCTGCCTACAGTTTAATGGTCTACATTTTGACTTTTTACCCTTTAATGCAGTTATCTTTATGCCTGTAGCGCCTGAAGCACTTTGCATATTTATTTGTCTTGGCAATATGCTGCATTCTAATATTAGATTTAATTTCTAGCGGTTTTTACGATCCAGCTGTTTAAAGATAATGTGTAAAAAAAACTTGAGTTTGCAACCTGCTGGTTTCGCTCTGTAAATAAATTCCCACCAAGCAAAATCCAACAATAACGTCTAAATATTCCCAGCTGTCAGTTTTGATTTTAGAGTATGATTTGCATGTTTTATAGATCTTTTTGGTGCTAATCCAGGTCAATATGGCTGGTTTTCCTTAATATAATCTAGTTTTTATTATTATTATTTCAGCCATTTTACAGCAATAGTAACAGCTGGCTGTGTAAAATATTCAACATGATTGCATTTTTCCTGATTAAAACATAAAACCTTCCAAACGCCTGTGCTTCCTGTTTGTGTAAGAACAGGATCCCATTAATCAACGTAGCATGCGGAGGGTCCGTTGACCCTCCGCATGCTCTCATTTTGAACACTGAAGCTTGTGGTTGTTAATGAAAACCGAACATAATTAGACGCAAACTGTGTTTTAATTTGAGCTAACCTCGCTTTTTTATGATTATGCATATCTTTGATCCCCCTTTGACAAAAAAAAAGATAAATAAAAGTACAGAATCTAACTTTAAATGGCATTTTAGTTGGACTGATTGACGCAGCGTCACCATGAGGTCCCTCGGCCTGAACGTTCGACGACCTCGGACACCTTTTAAAAGATGCTTTTGTCTGTCCGGATGTGATTTTCAGCTCATTTAAACTGCCACTTAAATCTCTTTGAATAAAAAGTAAACTTGTCAGCGTTCTTCATACCACTAATTCAACATTTGAGCAAAAACTTTGATAATTACCGTATTTTTCGGACTATAATGTGCACCAGATTATAAGGCGCAATATCATACATAAGGTGCATTAAGTGAACCAAAACAGTCAGATAAGTGTAATAACTTTATTCAACTCATTCACAACAACTCAACATTGTTAAGTTGTGCCACATAAAATCAGTTGAAGGTCACAACCAGAATTAATACATAAGACGCACTGGATTATAAGGCTCACTGTCGATTATTGAGAAAATTAAAAGATTTTAAGTGCACCTTATAGTCTGAAAAATACGGTATTTGCTTTAAATGCAGCAATCTCCCTCCATTATGTGCTTCTTTTAATTATAGATTCCTCCTGAAGATGAAGTGTTTGGTTCGGGCTGTTTGCTCTCCTTGACTTCTTTAGTTTTGCATTTGCTTGTGCTTTCATTCAGCCTCGAGACAGATGATCGTTTTCTGCTACCGACAGCAGATTCCTATAGCAGTTTGTAGAAATGTTTATGCTGATCAAACTTTTTTTTTTTTCCCCCAACATCATTTTTTTAGTGCGGCAGCCTTCATCTGTACGTGCATTAGCTCAGACATGTGAGGAAGAGGCAGCTACTTGTATAAAAACAAACAGAAGAAACATTAAAATCTGATATAGAACAGACAATTACTGACTTTTTGGGAACTGCCAGATTCTACAGTACTATGCAGAATGGCAGCCACTTATTATTATCCACAAGACAAGGGTTTCTTAACTTTATTTATTTCATATCTTGGTCTTCCATCAACTTTACAAGGTGTACCCCCACAAATGTTATATCAAAACGACCGGCTCGGAGCCATGATGTGTGCTATTACTTTTAATGGTGTTTCGAGTTACCATGGCGACATAATTTACAAACTAATGCGCCATTTTCCCCATACAAATCGCTTGACAGAACACTTCTCACACTCTGTAAGCGCTGCTGTGAGGTCACATGACTTAGAGGTGAGAGCTCCCCGAAGAAACTGTTGGGTTTATTTGAAACTCAGAAAGTAATCGTCAGATAAGTATCTAGAACAGATTAACATTTGGAGCCATTTTGATTCAAGATGGCTGCCACAGCTACCTCAGCAAACACAAAATTGACTATAACTCGGTCATTCTTTGAGATATTGAGCTGAAATTTAATATGGTTGTAGCTGAGAGCGAGTTGTTCTACATTCCTAATGCAAATCAAATATCCAAGATGGCCACCTTAGCTAAAAGGGAAAAAAAACATACGATAACTCAGCTGTTTTTAGAGCTATTTAGCTTAAATTGGGTGTATTGGTAGCTGATAACAAGTCCTAATAGATGCTGATTGCAATTCAAAAATACATAATGGCTGCCTGAGCTAAAACTAAAAAATACTATAAATCAGCCATTTTTAGAGATATTAATTTGAAATTTGGTATAGTGGTAGCTGAGAGCGAACCTCAACACATAGTATTGTCAAATCCCCGTCAGAATTTCTCCACTAACATTCTAGTTTGTTTTATTATTGACTGAAGTTGCATTAAAATGTTCTTTTCCATCAGTATTTCAACATAACTGGTTTAACTATGAGTTTACAGCAGACCGAGCAGCACTTTTTAAAAATGCATTCTCAAATGATAAAAGTCAACAACCGTGACAGATCTGTGACTGAGCAATAAGTTTAATTTTGCACTGCACTGAACACAGAAACACACGGGTCATGTGTTCTGTTTTTGCTCATTTATTGTCAGAAAAGTCTTTAGCTTAAGATGTTGGTGCAGATTTTAATAAAACAAAAATGGGCCTTTTCTTGTTTGCACAGATTAATATTGACTTACTGTGCTTTGTGTAGTTGACACCCTGATGCGTGTTAAAAGAGCCTCACCAAGTGGCTGCAGAAAGAAGTGTAGTCTACTAAAGAGATTTGATGTCCAACAATGATGTTTGTTTTTTATATTTCCATAAAGAGATCAAGCCAAATGAAGCCAATGAAGTATGCAGTGCAAAATTAAGTAACAAGCTAACACCTAAATGCTGAAGAAACTACAAATGATTTAAAAGTAATCGTAGCCTGGCCAAATAAAAGCCACTGATATTTAGATG